GTAAGCTGGAATTTTAAATACAATAGCACACATCATGATTATTGTCTGGTATGTTCCAGAGCTCCATCTTCAGCGACAACCTTTTGATGTGTACTTACAGAACAATTCACAGCTCAGCACAGTGCTGCCTCACAGCTGACTCGTTAACACCTACAAACACTGAGCTATGAAAATCAAGGCACAGGGTTCACTTGTAGATTTCCATGAGGAAATTAAACTGCCCAGGAGGAAACTGCAGCTCCAAGTACCTTCTGTGGTGGCAATGCATTAGAAGAGGCTGCCCAGGGAGGTGGTGGAGTCACCATCCCTGGAGGTGTTCAGGAAACGTGGAGATGTGGTGCTTAGGGGCATGGTTTAGTGGGCCCTATTGGTGGCAAGAGGACAGTGATTCAAGCAGAGAGGGTTTCTAATGTTTCAGCAGTAAAGGTGCTGAACAGTCTGGTTGGCAGAGCAGCCCCATGTAATGGTGTCTCCCAGCCAGACCTGTTCTAAATTAATCATCCTCTCTTGCTTTTTCTATAAACACAGACCCTAGGACTTCCCCTGAATTAATCCCTGTTTGGACTGTGTAGGAGATTAGCATGGGAAAGGACATCAAGAATCATCAAGTTCTTTTCCACTGCTATCACAAGTCACAATATCACAAATATTCTGAACTCCCTATGAAAACAGCATCTACAGTGAGCCTGCTGCAGGGAGACACCTCCAGAACCCCATACTTACACTTTATACTCAACGTGAATTACGTTCTTTGGTTACATGCAGTCATTCCTGTGGTAAAATTGTCTTTTAGTATCAACCTCTTCCTTCCCCGAATCTGGTGTACTTCAAGCCAGCAGTAATATCTTCAGTTACTCTTCACTTTGATGAGCTAAACCATGCAACTTCTTTCATCCTTAGAAAAGGAGCTCTCCACAACCTTTAAACAATCAGACAGTTTGAATTCATCTCCCATGAGAGTCAGTCAGTGAGGCTGCAGTGCTCAGAGGATGCTTCTTGCAGTGCAGCACTGGCACCTTGCTGTCCCCATTGCATCTTGCTGTCTCCATTAGAGATGTGTCTCTGAGCAGCAGGCAGACCCACAGGTTTCTCCCACCACCAGACACCCTGACAGCCGCTATGTAAGCCCACAATCTGTCTTTTCTCTTCCAAAGAATGAGACTCAGTATCTCGAGAAATTATTTTTATTTCCTCACTAATTTATGAATTCTCAGTTTAAGATAATCAGTTGGTTTCTCATTAAAATCAGTGTTTCACATCAGTTAGGTAGCTTCTAATTACATCAGTGTTTCACATCAGTTTTATATTCTTCTGCATTCACCAAGTCCCAGATCAAATATATGTCACAGTGACAACTATTAACTGCATCAGCTCAGTATTTTGATCATGCTGCCTAAGCACAGGCTAAGGCATCGGCCAGTCAGCAGAAACTAACTCCCAGATGACCATACGTCTCGAGATAAGCTATGTTTATTTAATTCTCTATTGAGAGGGTTACATTTTTTCCTTAGGAATAGTGATAAATGGACAGGATTGGCCTTGCCATCACATCAGACATCTGGATCCTGAGCAGTGTTTCAAAGATGACTGGCAATCAGTAGTAGTATTACAAGAGCTCCTTTATCAGCCTCATCCAAACTGGGTTTGCTGGGTACGGACAGCTGACGGAAAAGCTTTAGCAGATGTGACAAAACACTCTCCTGAGCCCTGCTGGAGTGGCAAGGATTTATTATACTATTAGCACATTAATACTTCTCTGCTTTTTCCCAAATACAGAACATAATATTGATTGTTCCTGCATTTTTTTTTCCTTTGAGTTGATTTCCACCCTTTCTATCTATTCACTTTGGTATAATCTCTTCCTTCTACATTTTAAAAATGCATAGCTGTTGTCTGCAAGTCTGCAGATCATATGCTGGTCCCTTGGTCCATTTGCTCCCTTATCACTTTTCTGCAAGAGGCTACCTTCTAATTTATATTCATTATTAACTGCTTCTCCCACTTGCTGTATAATTTCTATACTTCTTTCACTTTCTCTCATAGCCAAACCAATTTTCTAAGCAAAATAACTCCCTTTTTCTGTAGTGCACTTTTTCATTGCACTTACACAGTTTTGTGGTTTACCTGCTTAAAGACTTCCTTGCAGAGATTCGATTTAGAATTGGGTTTAGCTTATGAAATTGGCACTGTGGAAGCATCATCTACATTTAATATGTTTGATACCACTTTGGAATGCAACCTATTAGAAAAAATGTTCCAAAATGCTTTTAACCCCAGTGAAGAGATAAGTTATATGAAGTGAGAAATTAAGAGCCTTTTACAGTTTTGAATTAATGAGCCCACAGCTAGAATACAGCATGAAGTTGAGAGTACTTCCATATCAGGTATTTGATACCTGGAGAGACTTTGGAAAAAAAAATCAATTAGGGACTGAGAGTATTTTTGAAGAATGCTTTAAATAAGGAAATACTTTTAACCAACTGATGAGTGATAAAGGAGAGGAATCGCCTATGTGTACTTTTATAGAGGTATTCTGCTTCTGAGGTTTAAGTAGAAGATGGGGAGGAAAGAAGATAGAGAAACAAAGAAGAATACTCAGATATTGGATGTAGGGGGATTGTTTGGGGTATTTAGACTCAAACAAATGCCAGTTACATACAGAACGGTTTTTCCTGCGCATACAGGATGTGGTGGAGAAAATAACCAAATAGATCTTCCACCTTTTCTCTTGACCTGTCCCTTTTTTAATAGTCTTATTTAACTCCTTAAAAAAACTGGCTGCTCAAGGCAGCTAGGCTACCTAGTGTGGCTCAAACACTCACCATTGCTTGTTGTTTTTGGTATGTTGTGCTGAGATTCATGTACTACACAGTCAGCAGGGCTTATAGATTGTCTCCCACAGGGTACATTTTCCTGGTTCAGTCGCTACTCATTTAACTCAGGGGAAATAGCACTGAACTGTGACAGATCCTTACAAGAGGTAATTTCACCAGCCACATTAGAAATACTCCTATTGACACAGAAAAAAAGAAAGAAAAAAAAGAAAAAAACATCAGCTCCACAAAGACTTCTCCACCAGAGTTCAATCCCACAAGATCTTCACAGCCTAAAGTAAAGAACGCTTCAGCTGTGCCACTGCAATATCCCTGTGAGAGAGCTCTGCCTTAATAGAGTTAAATGGTGAGTACAGATTAGGGAGCTGGTGGTGGGTACAGATTGGAGTTTTAAGTTTTCTCTATTAACAGAGATTACTTTCAGCACCAAAATAACAAATTCCTTTGCAACATTAGTCACTGAAGTCAAATTTGTCATAACCAATGAAATAAGTTTTGTCATCTTAGACCTTATCTTGGTCAGGTAGCCTGTGCTGAGCATATCTAGAATAGCCCCGAAGCTGCAGGATGGATACCCAGGAAGACAGCTCTGCCCTGAGCTGCTACAGGTCTGACAGCTGTGCTGAACAACGCATCTTCAGGAGCTGGAGCTCTCTCAAGGCTCCACATTTCCAGCACAACACCAGCACATACACTGGTGTTGCTCCATTACAGGAAGCATTCGAAGCCAGGCTGAATGAGCAACCTGGTCAACTGGGAGGTGTCCCTGCCTATAGCAGGGGGTTGGCCCTAGATGATCTTAAAGGTCCCTTCCAACCCAAACTATTCTATGATTCTATGACCATCACTGGCCTTGTTACTTTCATTTTTAAATGCAAGCTGCAATTCTGCGGACTGATGATTTAGGTCCCTGCTGTCCTGAGGTTCCCACTCAAGTGATACCCTGCTGTCATTTCTAATCACACAGTGTTTAGTAGCTTACTTCAAGGAGTGACTGATCATGTTTGTGCTTCAAAGGCATACGCAGACAAAAATAAGATGATACCGAGTTTCAAAAATTAATTCTAGCATATGCTTAATGATGCCTACACACTCTGCTGGAGTGCTGAGAGGTCTGGCACTCTGTCCTAGCTCCCTGAGTGCCTGCACAACAGCCTCACACCTCCAAGGAAAGCTGCACAACTAGCCTTAGCCAAGCAGGTGCTCTCACCCTTCAGTGCCCACTGCACCATTTGTATTTTGTAACCACAGATGCACATTCTTGGAGAGCTCCAATATACAAGCCAACTAATTACCATTTGTAACTAATTAATTATTAATTTGTAAGTTGATCTTAATAGCAAGAAGACACTTTAGTAACTAGTTTAATACTAATGCTGGTGAGCTTGAAGTGACATCAGATTTAAAAGAAGTTTACAGATTTTGGTATAAATAGAATCAGTTACACTAATTCATTGTATTGTGAAGCACCACCATCATTTTCATGTAAGAAATGAGCCCGCTCTACTCATTTTAATGGTTTATATAATCCTCACAGACAGGCGCATCAAAACGAGACAGCTGGGGATTGACAGTATTTCATCTGTGCAGTTCATGTTACACTCACAAGCACACACAAAAACAAAGCGGAAGTCACCAGCCAGGGAGGAGGCTGCCAGGCTGTGCAACTGTATGGATAACACAGCAGTGAAAGAAAGAACCATCCTGTTCACAGCTTTACATTGGGCTGCCTCCAGTAGCCCATAGCAGCTGGCAGATCTCAGCACCTCTCTCTCTCCTCACAGTAAGCTCCTTCTTGCACAAAGGAGCAAATTATGTGATAATGTCACACTCTGCTGCAGCGTCAATTGTATGAGCTTCAACAAGACCAAGTGCACTTCTGGGTATTTCACAAAACAGCCAAAGCTGCTCCTACCCGTGACTGCCCTCCTTCCCCAAGCAAGATCCCAACTCACGTCCTCCATGGCAGCAGCAGCCATCTTACACAGCTGGACTTTCCCCTTGCACAGGGTCCCAGTGTGACGGAACAGTGAGCAGGGCCATCAGCAGCGCGAGGCGGTTGGGGGCAAGACCACCCCGTATGAGGTAATGGGGGCGGGGCTGCCTACAGGTGATGCGAGTGGGCGGGGTGGAGCCTGGCAATGTCTCTAAAGGGGCTGCCTGGGGACTGGGGGAACTAGGGGTTTCTCTAGGACTTGCAGCCTGCTCTGTGGTCTTCCAGGATGTTTGGCTTGCAGGTGGACTGTGGCTTGTTGCTAGAGCCCCTGGGCTTCATCAAGGTCCTCGAGTGGGTGAGTGGGGCAGGGAAGGCCCTGGGGTTGGCAGTTTGTCCTTCTGCTCAGAGCTTGGCTGTGTAGTCCTCAGCAGGAGCGTGTTGGTCAGCTGCCTGTCTGTGTTGTGCAGCTGGGAGTGGCTGCTCTGCAAAGAGGTGCTCCTCAGGTCCTGTCTAGGAGGGAAGAAAGCACTTCCGCAGATAAATAACACGATGTACTCATCACTGCTGTTACAGCAACTTGGGCTGCTGGGTGGTAGTATCTTACATCCTGCTTGTAGGAGCTGTGGAGTTTCCATACTTAACAGAGGGCAAGCAGGAGCTACTTAGAGATACAGCTTCTTGCTGTGTCAGCATACAGTTGTGGATGTCTGAGACTCCTAGAAGTGCTTATTAATTACAGGAGATGCTGTGCTGGCTTTCCCTGACAGCATTCAAATCAAAATGGTACTTTCTCAGTAGAACTGAGTGTAAACAAGAGTCTTTGAAACTGACTTGTTTGCTTTTTTTTCCCCAATTATTTCTATAGAAATACAATGCATTGATTCCTTCTTGCTTTTGCTTTAATGCTTTTTTTTTTCATTAATAACTTGTTTGCTTAGTTCTTGGTTTTTATTAACTTCTTAATAAATTAACTTCTTAAAAAATTAATTTCTGCTAAAAGACTTTGAGCTCTAGTGGTGTGTGCTGATGTCTTTGTTTCAATTTCTAGATTTTTTCCATCTTTGTTTTTTCAACATGTGGAAGCTTTCATGGTGAGACTACCCTTCTAGTTTCCTGCAGGGGTGTGGTGAACAAAACAGTTACAGCTGTGTTTGCTTATCCATTCAGGTGAGATTAATCTGTTCAGTTGTTACTCATATACACTGATTATTTTTTTTTTCTTCACTTTCATCTAGTTTTCTCCTTGTGAACAGCTCGCATATACAAACTAATATTGTGAACCTCTTGACTTGATCTATGGTAGTTGAAGGGAAAGAAGAGAGTATTAAGTTATAATGGCTGAAAGCACTGTAGTCATTGGTGTGCTGTGGAGGCACGGAAATAAAGGTGACAACTGACTATTTTGTATTGCTTTACTCTAAGCTACGTTCTGCCCGTGTGGGAAAGCTATATAAGGTGATTAATCTGCAGAACAGTACAAGTAATCAGGGGTCTTTTCACAGAATCAGAATCACAGAATTGTAGGGGTTGGAAGGGACCTCCAGAGATCATCGAGTCCAACCCCCTGCCAAAGCAGGTTCCCTACAGCAGGTCGCACAGGTAGGCATCCAGGCAGGCCTTGAACATCTCCAGAGAAGGAGACTCCACCACCTCCCTGGGCAGCCTGTTCCAGTGCTCCGTCACCTCACTGTAAAGAAGTTCTTGTGCACATTTGTGCAGAACTTCCTATGCTGCAGTTTCCAGCCGTTTCCCCTTGTCCTGTCTCCACTCACCACTGAAAAGAGTCCGGCCTCGCCATTCTGCCCCCCACACCTTAGATATTTATAGACCTGGATCAGGTCCCCTCTCAGTCGTCTTTTCTCAAGGCTGAACAGACCCAGTTCACTCAGCCTTTCCTCATAGGAGAGATGCTCCAGGCCCTTCACCATCTTTGTGGCCCTCCGCTGGACTCTTTCCTGTCTTTTTTGTACTGGGGAGCCCAGAACTGGACGCAGTACTCCAGATGAGGCCTCACCAGGGCAGAGTAGAGGGGGAGGATCACCTCTCTTGACCTGCTGGCCACGCTCTTTTTAATGCACCCCAGGATGCCATTGGCCCTCTTGGCCACAAGGACACCCAGGTCCCTCTCAGCAGAGCTCACCTCTAGCAGCTCATCCCCCAGCCTGTACCAGTGCATGCAATTATTCCTCCCCAAATCTTTTCCAACCTTAATGATTCTATAAGATTATCTACAGTCTTAACAGCCCCTTTCTTTATACATAGTTGATCTGGGGACCCAGGTACAACTGTTTCTGATGTGCTGCTGTCATGATATCTTCATGCAAAGGCAGAATGGAGAAAATTAACTTTGTAGTTTATTCCACTCTAGTCTTTCTGAGGTTGAGTACGTGACTAAATACTCTAATGCAATTGTAATGTAAATGCAAGCTGCTTTCTTGGAGCATGAGGAAGAAGGCTTATTCTTTCTTTTAACTTTGGCACAATCATAAGAAGTGTATGTGTTATTTCATGTTCAGTAAGCATATGTGTAATGATAGAAATGGATTCAGATGCTAGAATGTAAAGACCTCTCCAGAAGTACAGAGCTTAGTCACAAACCTCAGCATTGTAGCAGCACTTGGAGGAGAAGGTAGGCATCTGAAATGCTCCTGTGCTGGTCATTGAGTTGCTACTGGTTGCAAACTTCATTGAGCTTCCTTTGCTTGAAGATCCAGTGCTTGCATTTGTGTGTAGATATGCAGTTGTTTCATTTTAAGTCTTGCCCCTCACCTTCCCTCCACCTTTAAATGCTAGCCTCTGAAATATATTATGTCTGCTTCCAAACTGGAGCTACTTTCTTCAGTTAGTTGAAATATAAGGTCAACACTTCTCTTTAAGCTACTGTTGCATATCTCAATGTAGGAACAATCTTCAGAGATGTGTACCTTTGTATTGTATAACTGGTAATATTATTCAAACAATTTTTCTTACAGTCTTAAACAACTAGCATGCTGAAGGAAGCAGTGGTGTTGTGAAACATGACTGTATGAAGTTTCCTCTGCATAGCAGACTATTACTATGTAATATATTTTATCTTTTCCAGGTTGAATACTGTTCAGTTTAGTGCACCAGATTCTAGTCGCTGTGGTGGTACTTGGACTGACATCTATCTTGTGGGCAACTTCTCCTCTTCTGCACAGTTCTTTGTTACGCTTGCAGCATTGGCTTTCCTCTACTGCATTGCTGCCCTGGTAGTATATATTGGATATAAACACGTGTATCAGCACAACAGCAAGTTTCCACTAACTGTGAGTAATAAGTATTTCCATGTCTTTTTGTACTTATAAAAAGGATGGAAAATGCTATTAAGGCAAGCCAAACCTGAGTTATTGTATGAATACTTGGTTGTTCCAAAAGCTGCGTGGACTGTGAACCATGCATCTTGGATGTGTGGCTACAGCACTTAAGCAAAAGGAGGGAGGAACCCAAAGTCCTTTAATATCCATGGCATCTTGTCCTGTACATCTACTGAAGCGAAGACTAGAATGAAAGTCCTCCTAAAGTGAACAGTGTCTTCCCCATAACTTACCTTTATTATGTATTTGAGTGTACAGTTATTCCATGGGGAGAGGTCCTTCCTGTTAGTCTCTGGGAACTCCCACTCTGTAGAGCATCTGCTGTACAGATGTGATACATGGAGGGAAACTGCTACCCTGTGGGTTGAAATCACCTTATATACCAAAGCCCTGATCTTTGCAGTGTTTTTGGGTATGATCTGAAATATCTCTCAGTCCTAGTGACCTTTTCAGCTAAACTTTGGGATATCAGCAGTCCAGACTGATATCACCCTGCTACCCCAATTTTGTGAGACTTTAATTTTGTTAAGTGCCAGCTGTCTGGTTTAGAAACAAATTTCTTCCCAAGGATAAAATTGCTTATTGCTTGATAGATACAAAAGGCATACGTGATTTAATAGCTGATACACAATTTTATTACCCATGTTGACTTGTAATTACGAAGCTGTTAATGTTTGTGCTTGTGTTCACTAGTACTGATATGGTTATTCTAAAGTAGTTGACACAGTCTCTGCCTTATTCTGGTGCGTACTTAACAATTTATTTTAAATCTTCTAACGAGTACTTCTCTTTTGTAGGACTTAGCTGTAACTATTGTAACAACCTTTCTGTGGCTGGTCAGTACTTCTGCTTGGGCAAAGGCACTTGCTGATATCAAAATATCAACAGGGGCTGGCATTATTCCACTAATTGACTCTTGCAGAGCTCCAGAAACAACTTGTCATTTTGGCTCTGTGACCAGCATGAGATCTCTGAATGTGTCTGTGGTATGTATGTCTTATGTCATGCAGTTTTCAATGAATGTTATAGAATGCAGATGGTAGCTGAGAAGCATATTCTCATTACATGTGTTGATTTTTAAAATTGCTTTGTGGGGATGTTGGTTATACTATGATATAGTGCTTATACCTTATTTTTTAAAAAAAAAAAAAAGGAAACTCTTCTTATAAAGGAATAGAAACAACTTGAAGGATTTATCTTTAGAGTTGTTAGATATGATAGTTCCTAGACACATTTAAGCCTCCTTGCTATTTCTGTTTCTAGCCTGTAGCACCTTTAAAATGTTTCTCAGCCACCCAAATGGCTCAGACTGCTTTAAGGAGGAAAAACTGTGCTTCCTGCTCTGTCTTCTGGTGCTGAACTTCACTTTTTAAAATCAGCTGTGTGAATTTTACACCTCAGAGGTTCCTTATCAGATGGTTGGCATAGAGTGCTCACATGCTCCTTGCAGCAAGGTAGCTCTGTCTCACTGTAAGATCTTCCTAATGAAACTTGCTTTCCAGAACTCAGTGTTATTTTTCATTGTGCCACTGTAGTGATCAGTTGTGTGCTCTGTATGTGCAGAGGGAACTTGTATTTCTGTACAAAAGACAGAATGTCAACTATCTGATTTCCAGAGAAGTTTGTTTAAAATATTCATAATATTCCAGAGTATATGCAGGTATATTCTGTCATCTCTTTGGTTTGGAGAGCTGTTTCTGGCTTGTTTAGAAGTCATATTCTGCATTGTTGGGGTGTTATTTTTGTTTTTTTTTTTTTTGTTTGTTTAACCTAACCTCGCTTTTTTTCTTGACCTACAGGTATTTGGTTTACTTAATATGGTTTTGTGGGGAGGAAATATCTGGTTTGTGTACAAGGACACCAACTTGCACAGCCAATTAATCAGAGGTTCTCAAGTTCCAGGGACATATTCAGCTCAAAGAATATAAGAACAAGATTATACTTTGAAGTGCTTCTACTTTCACATCAGACTGCCAAGAACATGGAGCCAATAGGATTTATTTCAGTAATAACTGATGGTACAGACTTCTGTTCATATGAAGTGTTACCTTGATGTAGTCTTCAATATTTCAACTGAATTGTTACCTTGAAATATATTATGCCTTAACAAAAAGGCTGTACAACCTTGTGCAATATTTCTGAGAGAAAATGTTGAGGTTGCCTAAATGCTGGCACCTTGGGGGGGTTCTTTGACCTCATAGGAGGGATGGGGAAGGAGCACCTGTGTTTGAGTTACAACTGCAGCCTATCTAGTTCTAACAAGCCTTTGTTAGAAAAAAAAATAATGAAATGCAAATACAACCAGGACATGTGAAATCCCAATGAAAAATGTAGTTGATCTTCTTGGTAAGATGGACACCGTGCAAAAGCCATCTGCATACAGCCTGGAGCTCTGTCAGGATTGTGGACGTCACACCTAGATTTGCAGGTACTCCCTTCAGATTACAGCATCAACTCTGTCAACAGGTCTTTTTTGGAGGACATTAATTTGTTTAATATTTGGTTACTGTTTAGTATCTTAGGATAATCTTCAGATGAGAACTGCAATATTTTAGTGTAAGTTCACTTATCAAAGGTGTGTGTGTGTGCGGAAGGTGACTTAGTCTCAGAACTTGCTCACATATTGTGGACTCCAAAGCTAATATCTAGTGGCTAATATCAGTCTCTACTCCTTCCTCTGAAGTATATGTACAGTCTTTGCATGTGGAAGGGTTGGACTAAAGCTGTCTCAATATATGGAAGTCTTCATTGACTCTGCTCAGCTCACTTGTATTTACTGAGAGCAATACTTGATGGTTTCTGTGAACATCTGTGTGAAGATACCTGACTCTGAATTGCCTAGATACAGTTTATTAGACAAAACACATGCTTGTTAATCTTATCTTTAAGCTGTATCACGAAAATAAGCAAAGGTGTGCCACTGTATATGATGCAGACTTAGACTGTTGACTGTACAAGAGTTGTATTTCTGATAGTAAGCTTCTAAGTATAATAAAATTAGTGTGGCTGCTGCAAAAAGAGGGTGCCTTGTGTCCTTACTGCTGTAATAGATGCAGATGTGTTGGGATGTGGCTTTAGCTGCTTCTGACCTTGCTAGCTGAATGAGGTAACTGCTGTGGAAGAGCAGTTAGACTGATGCTTTGAATTGTGTTTTAGTGGGTGATTTGGTTGGTTTGGTGTGGTGTTTTTTCTCCTTTTTTTGGGGTAAAGATTCTATCTTTGAGAGGACCATCGCTTACTTGAGCAGATCATGCTTACCTGGTGCTGTGCAGCACTTCTGCCAGCCTGCTGTATGGGGCCTTTTATTACTTTTAACTGTCCAAAGTTTCTTTTGAGTTTTATTTCAAAAGTGTTAAATGCAGTGTTCACGTGGCCTTTTTAAAGGACATTGTTTCTTCCCAGTTCAAGGATAAGGGTTTTGAAAGCTATGGATATCTCACCATTTCCTATGTAATGATGCCAACTCTGACTGATAAATAGGCAAGCTGGCTTTATTTTTATAATCACTCAGGAACCAAGTACTATATCACCTTGCAAAGACTTGTTTTCAGGGAATGTGGAAGAAAAGTAGGACTTGATTTCAATCCACACATCAGGGGTATGACATGTAAAATCAAAATGTAGCCTCCTTGAGATCTTCTCCTCAGTAGAAAAGAAACAGTGAGGTGCTGGAGCAGGTCCAAAGAAGGGCAACAAGGCTTGTGAAGGGCTTGGAGAATGTGCCCTATAAGGAGTGACTGAAGGAACTGGGGCTGTTTAGTCTGGGGAAAAGGGGGCTGAGGGGAGACTCTATTGCTCTCTTCAACTACCTGAAAGGTGCTTACAATGAGAGCAGGGATGATCTCTTCTCACTGGTGGCAGGATGAGGGAAATGGCCTCAAGTTGCACCAGGGTGAGTTTAGGTTGGATGCCTTTATAGAAAGGGTTGTTAAGCACTGGAATAGGCTTCCCTAGGAAGTGCTTGAGTCCCCATCCCTGGATGTGCTTAAAAACTGTTTGGCTGTGGTGCTCAGGAACGTGATGGAACATGATTTAGCAGATGATTGTTAGGGTAGTATGGTTAGGTTGAGGTTGGACTCGATGATCTTAAAGCCTTCTGATTTGAGTGACTCCATGTTTCTGTGCATCTCACTTCCACTAGCTCAAGGAAGCTGTTTGCTGCACCTTCTGGTAGGCAAGGTGCAATTCTCAGCCTAAAAAGGTTACAGGGTGGGAGAAGTGAGATGTTGAACGGGCTACACCTGTTACAGGTTTGTTCAGTGTTTGGTGTGTTATTTTTTGTGACTTTGTGGGTTTTTTTTTTTTTGGTAGCAACAGTGATTTGTTGTATGTTAGTCTGATCTGTTTGTTTAACTGGTGTTAACTGAACACCTGGCTCAATGCCAGCTTTGGAGGTGTTCTTTAGCACCACCCAGTATAAATTGCTCTGCAGATGCTTCCTTCTGAAGGACTGATAAAACTGTCAAAGTGTTTCACTTTTGGCAGTGCTGTTGGTCTTAATATTCAAAAATCCTCAGGCAGTCAGTGGTTGGTGTTAATGTAGTGCTTGACTGAGCTGTCTCCACAGCCTTGCTTGGGTATCTCTTCTGTGTGAACTGCCAGGATGTGTATGCTGTTAGTAATGTTACGCTCCTGGCACTTTCTTTGCATCAAGCTTCACAAAATTATTCCTGGCTGGGTTGGGTTTCTGTCATTTCAGTAGTCTTAATTGGGTCTTGAAGCTTCACTGGCATTACTGATGTCAAGTGCTGAGCCTCATCTTGCCTTTCATCTCTGCTACCAGCTGGGTCGTGCCCAGCAGAATTGCATTGGGCTATAAATAGTGTGAATCTTGTTGAAAGGCTGCAATTACGATGCTCAGGCGTTAGCTAATGCAGGGCATGAAGCTTTTATCAAGATTTAAAGTGTGGAGCCAGATAGCTGATTATGAATACACAGAGGCATTATTTTTAAGTGGTCTTGCACTAACTGTTCTCCTGTCTTCCAAGATCACATGCCAAAAACAACCTCTGTGGCATCCTTTCTAACCTCTTCTCTTGTATCGATTCCATGCCCTAAGTACTAACCTCAAACCTGAAATTCTCATTTCTCCTTGAAGAGATTTCTTTAATTAAGGGCTGTTGTGACAGTTATCACCAATGGCTGCCTTTGTAACAGTATGCTTATATCATGTGTGCAGATGGGAAGAGAAAAAAAGTGTTGGTTAGAAAACGGGGGGGGAAAACACAAATAACTTTGCTACTTATAAGCTTTTTTCACTTTGGGGGAGGGGGGAAATACCAAAACTATTGGCCCTTCTCAGTGGTCCTGGTAGAATTATGGACACTTGAGACTAAGATTAAAAAAAAAAAAAAAAGCTGTAGGATCACTACTACGAGCTTACCATAAAGACAATATTTAGGTGTTAGAGTAATTCCATTGCTATATCTTTAATTTTGGAGCAAACTGGTATTTGTGACTTGATCAAAGTTTGCACTGCTTTGAGCAAGGTTGAACCAAGCTTTTTTTTCTCCAAGTTCTATATTGTTTTCTTTTGTCACCTGGTGGATGACTGTTTCCCTTTGTACCTTGTTTTTCTCTTTTAGCCAGAGGCTCCCTGCTTGCGTCATGCTTAATTCAAGCACATATTGAATCCTAAGGTCTAAAACTTCTGAGTTTGCTTATTGCTTAAGGAGATAAATAGCTAACTATAGACTAATTAGGCTCTTCAATCTCATAATTCTTTAGGACTTAAGGTTATATACAATGTGTATTACTATTTTCCCCTTCAGTAGTGGTTTTTTTTTTTTTTTTTTTTTTAAAAGAAAGTTAACAATCTTGTTCCTGTCTATTTACCACCTGAAGCTCCAGTTCTACAATGAGCTGACTGTCACAGAAAATGCTGTTGGAGTCAGTGTTGTATTTTTTTTGTTATAAATGGTAATTGTGTGTATTTTTGCACATGAGAGAAGAAGGGATTAGATCAGTGTATTCTTCATTGGCCAAGGTCTAGCCTGCAAGTGAAGCTGAAACGAAGCTGGAGTTTAGCATGCTCTCCTTCTGTAAGGTCTATATGAAGAGGTATTCCTGTTCCCCATAGTCTGAAGCTCTCTTACACTTGTAGATGAAATGTGTTCCATCCCTGGAGTACCTCCCTTAGAAGACAGACAAAGCATGGCAAATGAGACTAAAATTGGTGAAATATACATAAATTGATGTAATTTCAGAAAAAATTCAAATTGAGCATGCCACGTTTGCAGTCATCAGCCAGGTAAATGTTAATGGTGTACTGGCTCTGCAGACTGAGGTGAATGTGATGCACAGTCCACAGCAAGCAAGATTTCAAAAAGAATAACCATGTGTCCCTTGTTCATTAGGATAAGGCTTGTTTTGCTTCAAAAAGAGGGGATTGCTGTAGGATACTGCTGCCTTTGATGTCTGTTGGAGTCTTGCTGCTGAGATGAGATGGGACTTGGTGCAGCAGAAGCAAGCAGCTGCTCTCATTTACACTGGACACCCACAAAGGGCTGAGGAGCCTTTGCTTTGAATTGATATCACATCCATGCTGGCAGCACTGAGATGCTTAGTGCCTTATTTACTGACAAAAGGGGGGGGGGGGGGGGTAATGGGGGTGGAGGAAACCTGCCTGGTTTACCAGCTTTATCTTGATTGCATGAGTATCTCTGTGGCTAACAGGAGATGCAGTTTGCTTATCTCTCTGTGCTGAGGAAACAAAGGGCCTGGAGATCTGCCAGGTCTCTCCACTGAGCTATCATCAGCTGGCAGCAATCCTGGCAGCCTTCAGTTGTGCAAGCTCAAAAATCTTTAGAGAGTATGTGGATCCTCCTGGTAGCAAGCTGTAACTATGCAGCCCTAGCATTTGCACTGAGGGGTGATTTGTGGTGTGGTTGTGAGGAGCTGTGATCAGAAGACCAGGGTAGGAGGGAAGGCTGGACTGTGGCAGTGGAAGAAAATGGAGCAAAGGGGTTGGAATGGGATATCACTAGGGAACTTTCAGGCTGAGAACAAAATCCTGTCATCATTAAGAGATGTCAAAGGAACTGGCTAACTTGTGGCTTAGGGGGCTGTGACCTGTGATGTGAGGGCTAGATCTGTGCAGCTGTGCTGAGAAATGAGCTTGCTGAGTGCATCAAGACCAAGAAGAGCCGCTGTTATGGCAGTTGGCATTCTGTTGGCAGTGGGTGAAGATACTGCCACAACCCTGCAAGAAAAGTCATAGGAATTGAAGAATGAGAAAGATCTGGCCACATCACATCTCCTGTAGGTCATATGAGTGGAGTCACTCTGGGA